CCCCAAAACCCCAAAACCCCAAAACCCCTAAACTGGAATATTCATAGGATCTACTGATGCTTCTAATTTAAATATAATTTCGAAATATGAAGTATTAGGGTGTTTACTGCATTGAATTGATTTCATTTACTAATATTTTAGATATCAAGGATAATTAAGGAGTGAATTAAAGGTCACTTATCGACCCATCTCGTGATCTATAAACTAATCAAAATTCAATATTATTTTTCGATTTTGTCTCTACAAATGAAGAGGCTTAGGCTACAGGATTTTCTGATACTTTAAAAATGGGCAAAAAGGGCTATATTGATTGCCAACTTGCTCTTGATGATCAACTTAAGAATATTGAGAAGGATCTCGTATTTACATATTAATGTGATCGGGGAAGATTCATTGGAATTATAGACTATTTGATGCTAAGTAATATAGAAGGGGTTCAAGAATTATAAATAAATCTGAATGATCTTTCGGAGATTCCACATTTCAAATTAAAAGTAAAAATATCGCTTCTTTACTCAAATATTCCTAATAATCTTGTCGAAAAGAAAGTAATGAATTCAACTATTACTGAATACCTGATTAGTTTCAAGAAACTCCTCATTATTGATGCATATATTAGAGCAGATGTTCTAAGATCAGCACCTGAGAACGAAGTTTAAAAAAGAGAAATTGTCTTAAAAATTGAAATAGGAAAATAAGTTGTTGAATTTAATATAGAAGACCCTGAAGGTCCTGATAGGAAAAATCCTCAAAATGATTTTCTAATGTATGTTTATGAAGGGACAAAGCAGATCAAATTTACAGTGCTAGAAAAGTTTTATACATTAGAGAGAGACGAAGAAGCTTTCCTTTAAAGCATCAGACAAATAAATACAAAGCAGACAACATCAATAAATAAGTTCTTGATTGATGCCAATGGTGGCAATGGAAATGAGGACCCAAGAGATTTAAATAGCTTAATGAAAAAGAAAAAGATCCTTAAAGGAGAACCTTTTGTGATTGGTTAGATGACTGTCCCAATTGAATATACCATAATTACGGAAAATACCTAATTTTCAATAGAGCAAAAGCTAAAATTAATAATAGCAGAAACAAAATTTAATGAGGAAAGAAAAACTGAGGAAAAAAAGAATTTAGTTGATGTACTTGGCACTTTTACAGTATTTCACAATTCTTTCATTCAAGCACCAAGAGGCAGAGTAGAGATGGAGATGATAGGTTATTCAAAGTTTTCAAAGGATTTAAATATAGAGTTCCAAGATTTGGTTTTCAAGGTCCAAAAATAGATTGATGCCAATAGAGACAGGATTCTCTATATCTTTAATGAGAAGCAATGGCTCAACTAGTTGGAGAGACCTTAGATTAGATTTGATACTTTCTACTATGATGATTAGATAAAGTTCGATGTATTTCACAGAAATTCCAGTGTCAAAAGTAACATGCTTGGAAAGGGGACTATATAACTTAGACACCTTTCATTTGAAAAGGAATCAATAGTTTCGGTAGCTATCTATAATAAGAAAGAGGAATAAAATTTTGGGTATGTTTATCTTCGATTTGCATACAATCCAAGACCTTTACATCTATATAATCCAGAATGGCAGAATGATATAGAAATTTTAAGAGAGAAATAGAAATACCTATTTTTCGACTCCTACTTGATGAATAAATTCAAGAATGTTTGCCACTTTGGCTATATCTTTGTACAGCTCAAATCAATCGATATTCCCAAGTTAACATAGATCAATAACGATTAGAATCAAATGAACTAGTAATAGAATAGTCAGTTTTAGCAGCTGTATCTGGTAAAGATCAGAGAAGGAATCCATTAAAGCCAGATAATAGTAGCTGCTCCCAACAGTATCCTAGATATACACCATAAAGAGTTTTATACTTAGACACAGTCTCTCAATGAAAGGATTCAAATTGAGTTTTACTAGATTTTGTCAGAAGAAGCATTTAACCCTGAGGCTAAAAATAACTTTAAAAATCTGAGGCTAATAAATCATATACTCCTTCCACTCAAATTTATTCCCTTTGACTAAGACTATGCTCTTGCAGACAACTACAACATCCTTACAAATCTCAATAAGTCTGGATAAGTAGCTTAGTTAACATTCAAATTCATGTATCAAATGCAGGTGCCAGAAGAAAGACTCTTCCTAGAGAATAAACCTTCTAATTTTTAAATAACTGGAGGCTTTCTTTTTATCAAAATGGTTCAAAATGAAGACTTTGCTTTACACCATGAGAAGGATCTTGACAAGTACGTCTTCTCATTGGAAGTTATCAATGAAACCAAATAATAGTCGTATTCTAAAAGATTATTCTTCAGCAAGACGCTCCAGCAGATTGGCTTTGTAGATCTAAGAATAGGTGATAAAATGAAGTTGAGGTTCCTGGTCAATAAAATAGGCAGTATTTCGGATAAAAAAGAAGCTGAGCTAATTGAGGAATTCTATTACGAATATTAGTAATTTGGACTACAGAGAATAAATATTATCTAATTCGAAGATAAAGCTTTAGTTGAACTCCTACCATGGCAAGCGATCAATTTGAAATGCATGCTAAACTATGATGGAATGCCTAAAATTACCACTGGTAACATGCTCACAAATTTTCAAAGCTAGCAATCAGGACAAGCAACTATTGCTTAAAAGATAACTGCTCGTTAGTCAATGTATGGTACGAATTAAACTGTAGGCTATAGAAATACTACACTTAACCCACTCAGTCAACAAAAGAAACTGATATTAGAGGGGGTAATGCTAGACTTAGAACTGAGGAATAGCGATTTCCAAGAAGCTTCTTAGAACAATTAACTAGACTGCACCACTATTGAAATTTAGTTCAACAGAGAAAACTTGCTTGATATTTTACTGGTTAAAGATTTAACTGAAAATGCTCACTTTGAGCTTTCTAATGCCAGTTTTGATAAAAGAGCTCTTAAGGATACTAAATCCTTCTATCTTAACGAAATTGACTTTGATATTCCATTTGTATTCAGAGTATTCACGCCAAGTGACGCTATATAAGTCAAAATTAGAGACATTGTTGAGGTTTATGCTTGCATTAATCTAGCCGAGTAGCCTTTCATTTAAGACTAATATTTTTCTTACTTTATCTAAGTTGGCATGAAATAGATGGAAGTAAGGCTTTCAATGAAATTTGAAGTTTAAGCAGGAGTCAATGTTTCCGGTAATGGACAGATGCTAGGAGCTAAGATTTTTAGAGATTTAGTTTCTAATGTTAAAGACGTTGCAGCGGTGCAAAAGGAATCTTCTGAATACTCTAAGAAACTATAAGAAATCAGTGACAAGTCTGCTGCAGAATAAATAAAACTTCTGAAACAGTTTATCAATGATAATGATTTGAAAAATAAGCGATTGATCACTAGGCAATAGAAGTTAGCCAAAGACTATGAAAAAGTGTTGAAAAAAATTGAAGAGGGTAAGAATGCCAAGCCCTTACCCCCAAAGCCAAATATTTAGCCAAGTCAGATTAAAGAGTTTATAGATATTAATAAAATGTTTTCTGGACTAGCAATATCTCAAGGTGATCCTCCTAAGAAAAATCCAAAATATGAGAACTTGAATCTTTGTGCCTGCGGAAATCAAAATCCTAAATTCAAAGGTTACTGCGGAGATTGCTTGAGAAAGCTAAAAGACACTTTTGATAGATATCTAACTAAGTTCAACAAATTATCAGAGGAGTATGATGCTTACACTGGAATTGACTAAAGTAAAGCAGACGAGAAAATTAGACTTATGAAGAACAAAATAGAATAATATGAGATCAAGCTAAGTGATCAAGAAATACTGAATGTGGTGGAGAAACATGAATAGCTGGCTAAAAGTGATGAAAATAGAGCATATGCAGAATTTAAGGTTACAGTATAGTCGATGAAACAAGAGATTGATATCATTAAAGTAAAGCAAGACATTGATTTGCAAGATCTCAGGAAACAAGTAGACTACATGGAGGTTTAGGTGGCGAAGAAATAAGGGCAGAAGAAGGATATTGAAAGAGAAAAGAAAATTCTTAATGATCAAGTTGAATAGATGTCGAAACAAATATCTGAGATTGAAAAGAGAATAGTTCTAAAAAAGAGATATGTTCTTAAAACCTAAAAATTCCCAGATGCAATTGACAACAGTAAAATATGATATGATTAATTTCATGACTTCAATTTAAAGAATAATTTCTATCACTAGGGGTTTTGGGGTTTTGGGG